CTGCACAGCGATTGGCCGATGACGCGCGCGCGCCACTCCCGGCTCCGACGTGCGCGCCGCACCGGGGCGGGCCCAGGGGCCGAACAGCCACCGCATTGGTCGAAGCACAGCGAGCGCTCCACGTGACGCGCCTGAGGCTGGGTTCGAGGCCTAGTCGCGGCTGGCGGGACCTGGGGGCGGGGCGCCGAGCTCAGAGGGAGAACCGAGGGTTTCGCGGCTGCGGCAAAGGGCGCCAGGACCCAGTTCCGGAGTTTGCCAGGCGGGTTCTCGGAAGCACGCCCGGCTTGGCCTTTGGCAGTTCATCACACTGTTCACCCAGAGCGGCTCGCTGCTTACTCTGCAGCTAAGTATAGTCCAAGCAGTGGCTTGGTTCCTTCAGCAACCCAGGACTGACCTGACCCTCCGCCCGTGCCAGGTACCTCTGAAGGTAAATAAGACCCAGAGGAGTGCACAAGCTGACAGGGCAACTGACACCGTGGCTAACCCATGGTAGATGCGTGGGTCCCTAGTGCGCTGGAATCAGGTGGAATATCCGGGAGACCTTCCTGGGGGAGGTGCTGCTTGAGCTGAGTCGAATGATGGTGTGGGCATTTGCCAGGTGGAGTCCAAGTGAGGGTAGAGATGTTCCCGGAAGTATGAACAGCTTATGCCAAAACACTCGCGAGAGGAAATAGCCTGGAAAGCTGGGAATTGCAATGTGTAGCTCAGTATGAGAAGGTACAGGGGAAGAAATGAGACTTAAGAATTGGAAAATAAGCGAGAGTTTAATAATGAAGGGTTTGTACTTGCCTTTCATATGTCCTAGGAGAAGTATTGAGGACATCGAAATGAATTTAGGACAGACGACTGACATCTGTCTCAAATTGGAGGATGGTTGGGGGTGCCCAGTGGAGATTGGTTATGATGCTCTGGGGGAAAAAATGCCAGACAGGTAGTGAAGATTTGCACTGAAGGGACCTGAGAACTGAAAGAGAAAAGAGCTATATGACAGACAGAAATATGTGTTCATGTAATAGGGAGTGTATGAAAAAAATAAAACTTGGGAATGTTTCTCAGGTTTCGAACTCGTGCAGTTAGGATAGACAGAGGTCTAAAAGGACAGGGATAAGTGCTATCTCATTGTAGTAACACCACCTAGCATGGTGCCTGGAACCCAGGAGGCTTTCAATGAATTTTCTGACTGAGAAGACACTGAATTGGTGTGAGAGAGTATCTTTCCTCAGCCTATAAGGAAGGAGAAAAAGACTACAAGAATTGATTTTGTTGTTTCACGCTTGCTTGAAGGAAATCTTGATTTTCTAGAACTGTGCATCTGTGGAAACCTGAATTTCTGTTTTATTCATCTTAGAGATCTGAAGCGGCATGGATCTGCCTGTGGAAGAGTGGAGATCATACGTACTTCACAAGTGGTCCTTGCTTCCAGCCTCCACTCGGATCACGATTTCTACAGCGGAGACTTTGAGTGATCTCTTTCTTCACTCCTCTTCCCATCTTCAGTAAGTGAATCAGACCTTGACCCAGGGAAATTTTTATCTAGAAAAGGTTTTCTTTTGTCATTTGCTGTGAAATAATTGCTCTTTTTTGATGGAAAGGTAATTTCAGATTTTTATATTACGGTCCATTCAGCAGTTCTTGCTGTTTCCAGGTTTTTTTCTAACCTGCAATTATAGAACAAATAGAGATGATATTTTGCTGTTTTTGGTGTCAATGTTATTTTTTTTTCTAAGAGAGATTTTTGCAGTAGGGCACATGTGAGTGCAAGAGAGACTGAAAATTAGAAATCACCCTCCCAGGTGGTGGCCATGCGGCCATGCTGCCAATCCCTTGTCCTCCATTTTCCTCTTGGGATTTTGGGAATGTATACATATGCACTCAGTGTAAGTTTCAAGCCACCAGTTCTGGGACTCGAACTGTGATTGACTGTGTGGGAGTCCAGTGATGTAACATCACGCCATCTGCTAGTCCTCAGTGTTATGTTTTAATAATTCAGTGCCTTGCTGTAGTCACTGAGCCGTGAATTTGGCCATCTCCAAAAGGATATGGTGGAGATTTACCATCTGCCCATAGAAACTCATGTATGCTCAAATACGGAAAGAACCTTAGAAGTCATACAGTCTAGAGACCAGCAGATGGCGTAACGATTATGTCGCTGAATTCTCACGCAGTTGACCCAGTGGCTTAAAACTCACACCAGGTGCATGTGCATATGTGTCCAAAATCCCAAGAGAGGAGAATGGAAGAGAAGGGATTGTGGCATGGCCATCCCCTCTGGGGGGTGATTTCTTGCTTCCTATCTCTCAGTCTCTCTCTGTCTGGCAAATGTATACACCCTATAGAAAAAATCTCTCTCTTTAAAAAAAACAAAGTCGGGAACCAGCAGTTAGCATAATGGCTATGTCGCTGGACTCCCACGTAGTCAACCGCGGTTTGCGTCCCGGACCCAGTGGCTTAAAACTCACGCCGGGCGCATGTGCGTGCGTGCCCAAGATCCTGAGAGGAGAATGGAGGAGAAGGGATTGCGGCATGACCATCCCCCCTGGGGGGTGATTTCTCACTTTCTGTCTCTATGTCTCTCTCTGTCTGTCTGGCGAGCACACGCACCCTATAGCAAAAACCTCTCCAAAAAAAAAAAGTCATATAGTCTAACCCCAGTAATTTTCAGTCTCTTGACTACATTTCTTGCGAAGATAAATTTTGCATCACAACCTAATACACAATACATATATAGAAAATGGGCTTAGGAATTTCTCAAAACTTCATCCATAGGACCAGTAGGTGGTGTGGTGGTCAAGGCTCTGGACTCCCCATGTGGTTGACTACAATTTGAGTCCTGAAATCGATGGCTTACTTTCTCCCTTTCTCTCTTTCTCTCTCTCTCCCTGGTAAGCACAACGTGTCCTATCGCAAATTAAATAATAATAATAAATAAAACAAAAAATAATTAATTTTTTAAAATTCAGTGAATTTTTTCTCTTTTTTTTTAAAGTTAACTTATGTATTCGTCCTATGAGCAAGAAAGAGAGCAACAATACTCTTAATATGATCTCGATAATTCAGTCCACCCCCAGCTTCAGCCAGCCCCAAATCATCAGCATAGGCATGCCTGGCATACTCAGGGAGGTCTTCAGTCATGGACCCAGAGCCTTCTCATGAAGGTCGGCCTTGCAGAGTGTTGTGTTACTGCTGCTCCACCATCCAGCCCCATCCAGTGGGTATTGATCACCTATTTTCTGCCAACCACTGTGCTAGATCCTTAGAATATATTGGTTAAAAAAAAAAATAAGATCACTCCTCTTGAGAAACTTAATTTCAGCCAGAAGAGACAGACTATAGATGTTATAAACAAGCAAAGTATATAATACATTAAAGATGTTAAGTATGTTATAAAAAAGAAGTAGGGGACCAGCAGTTGGTGTAATGGCTATGTCGCTGGACTCCCATGTAGTCAACCGCGGTTCAAGTCCCAGACCCGGTGGCTTAAACTCATGCTGGGCGTATGTGCGTGCGTGCCCAAGATCCCGAGAGGAGAATGGAGGAGAAGGGATTGCGGCATGGCCATCCCCCCTGGGGGGGGATTTCTCGCTTTCTGTCTGTCTCTCTCTGTCTTTCTGGCAAGCACACGCACCCTATAGCAAAAACCTCTCCAAAAAAAGAAGTAGAACAAGGTAAGGGAACTAGGCAGTGCTGGGAGTGAGAGTGCAGGTTATAATATTAAGTAGTGTGGTCACAGGACTAGCAGCAGCTTGGTGGTTAAGGTAGCTAGATCCCACATGGCTGACTTTGCAGTTTGAGTCTCAGACTCCAGTGGCTTGAAAAACATGCCACGCACATGTGCCTAAAATCCCAAGAAGAGAATGGAGGGATTGCGAAGTGACCATCCCTCCTGGGGCTGATTTCTCACTTTCCTGCTTTCTCTCTCTCTCTCTCTCTCTCTAGCAAATGCATGTGCCCTAAAGCAAGCTTAAAAAAATAAATAAATAGTGTGGTCAGAGATGCATCAGTGAAAAAGTGAAAGTTAGGGCCAGCAGGTGGTATAATGGTTAAGGTGTTGGGCTCCCACATGGCCAGCTGTGGTTTGAATCCTGGACCCAGCAACTTGAAACATGCTGAGCACGTGTGGGTGTGTGCCCCAAATCCTGAGAAGAGACTAGAAGAGGAGGGATTGCAGCCTGACTGTCCCCCCAAGTGGGGGGTGATGTCTTGCTTTCTGTCTGTCTCTCCAGTGAGTGCATATGCCTTGTAGCAAAAATCTCTCAAAAGAAAGAAAAAAAGGAAAAGAAAAAGCGAATGTTGAGCTAAGGCTTGGAGACAAGGAATTAACAAAGTAGACATCTGAGAGAGAGCATTCCAGGTGGAGATCCTAATCTGGGATGTGTCTGGCATGTTCACGCAAGAGCAGGAAGGCACATATGGGTGGGCAGAGGAAGCCAGAGGGAGAGTAGTAGGAAATAATGTCCAAGAGGTAATGGGGCATGCATGGAGGTTAGGAGCAGATGGCACAGATCATGCTGGTCCTTTAAGCAAGTTTCTGTTTACTCTCAGTGGGCAGTTGCAGTTGCAGGATGTGGCAGGCGGTGGACTGGTTCCATAGCCTAGTGGTTAAGTGAGCTGGATCCCACATGGCCATGGTTCAAATCCCAGCTCCAGCAGCTTGAAAAACACACCAGGCATGTGTCCCTGCATGCATGCCCGGAATCTCAACAGGATGGAGAAATGGAGAAGGGATTATGGCATGACCACATTCCTGTGGCGGGTTCTCTCTCTCTCTCTCTCTCTTTCTCTCTCTCTCTCTCTCTCTAGTGAGTGCATGCATGCTCTGGAAATTAAGGGAAAAAAAGGAAAGATGTGGCAGGCAAATTCCGAAGATGCTTCTTCCGGTTATTGTCCCTGTTTATACAGACTAACACTGACTTAAGCTCTACCACGAAGGGATTTGGCAGATGTTATTCAAGTCCTGAGTCAGCTGACCTTGAGATACAGTTATTTGGATGGGCCTAAACAATCAGGCAAGATACTAATTAATTAGTTAATTTTAGTTTTGCTGTAGAGCATGTGAGCTCACCAGAGAGACAGAAAGGGAGAAGGAAGTGAGAAATCACTCTCGGCCAGCAGGTGACGTGGTGGTTAAAAGCACTGGACTCACACATGGCTGACTATGGTTCGAGTACTGGACCTGAGGCTCGTGCTCTGTCTGTCTGGTCAAAATCGAAAATAATGATAATAAATAGTTCTTAGAAAAAAGAAAAAAAAAAAAAAAAAAACAGAAGAAATCACTGTCTGGGGGATGGCACCCCACAATCCCTTCTCCATTCTCTTCTTGGGATTTTGGGCATGAACACATATGTGCCCACCTGGGTCTGGGACTTGATTGGCAGAGTCAGCAAAGTAGAATCCAGCCTCCTAATCACACTTCCTGGCCAGCCCTATTTTTATTTCATTTTATTTTTAAAATTTTTGCTAGAGGATATGTGCACTTGGTAGAGAAAGACAAAAAGGGAGAGAAAAAGAGAAAGTGAGAAAGCATCCCCCCCACAGGGAATCACCATAATGTAATCCTTTCTCCTCCAATCTCCTTGGGGTTTTGGGCACGCCCAGCATGATTTTCAAGCCACGGGGTCTAGAACTGAGCAGTTATGTGAGATCCAGCCACCTTTAACCACTCAGCTACCTGGCTGGCCCAGGTGAGCTCTTTAAAAGCAGAGCTTTCGGGACCAGAAGATTGCATAATGCTTATGTCGTTGGACTCCCACATAGTCGACCGCATTTTGAGTTCCGGACCTGGTGGCTTAAACCTCACACCGGCCTCATGTGCATGTGTGCCCAAGAGGAGAATGGAGGAGAAGGGATTTGCAACATGGCCATCCCCCAAGGGAGTGATTTCTCATTTCCCGTCTCTCTGGCAAGCGCACACCCCATAATAAAAATCTCTCTCTAAATAAGCCCAGTTGGTAGCAGAAAGATATTCAGGGGCATTGATAGCATGAGAGGGATTTGATGGGCTGTTTCTGGCTTGAAGATGGAGGAAGCCACATGAAAAATGACACAGGCAGCTTCTAGACGCTGAGAGTGGTTCCTGGCTAAGAACCAGTGAGGAAACAGAGACGTCAGATCCACAGTCACAAGAAATGGCCTTCTGCTAACAGCCTAGATAAGCTTGGGAGTGGATTCGCCCCCCCATCCTCCATATAAGAGATCACTTAACTTTGGCCTTTGTTTTGTTTTAAAGAATTTTATTATTATTATTATTATTATAGCTTACTACAGAGCATGCACATGCACCAGAGAAAGACAGAAAGAGGTGGTGGGGTGGGAGGAGTAAAAAAGCAAGCCACCAGGTCCAGGGCTCGAATCGCAGTTGGCCACGTGGGAGTCCATTACCTTAACCACCATGCCACCTGCTGACCCTCGTTCTGTTTTGTTTTTGTAAGTTTTGCTATAGGACACTGTGCTTGCCCGAGAAAGAAGGGAGAAAGAAAGTCAGAAAGCACCCTCGGGG